CGGGCGTGCGGGTCCTCGCTGAGCTGCTGCGGGCTGAGGGCCCGGGAGCCGGGCCGGTGCGTGCGCTGGGGGCCTCTTCCTGCAGGCCCCTCCACACCGCGTGGCCAGACGCCGCGTGGCCTCCTTCCGCCTCGAGCTGCGCGAGGACGCGCCCAGAGCTGCCCCCGCAGGCCCACAGCCTGGGCGCGGACGGTGAGTGCGGGTCTGGGTGGGAGTCCGCGAAAACGCACCCAACCGGGCGGGGTGGGAGATTCCTGGGGTCCCCACCACACAGGGAGAAACTGAGGCGCTTTCAGAGGCCACACAGCTAGAGCAGCGCCAGAGCGAGTCAGAGGGGGGCGGGCAATGACCCATCCGAGAGAGCCTGCAGGGGGCAGGATGGGGGGAAGGGGAGGCCAGGCGGAGCAGCCCAGGTCCCTGGCCCCTAAGGGGCTGGGGATGACGGGAACGCGATCAAAACCTCCCGCCAAAGCTGTCCAGGCCTCTTCTGGCTCAGCGGCGACCTCCCTCCCCTCCCCCAGTCCAATAAAACAAAAGTCCAGTGTGAGCCGGTCCCCATGGAGATGCCCCACCTCCCTGCAGGGCAGCAGGCTTAGCTCTTTGCTTTCCTGGAGCTTAGAGCTTGACCCCATAGTGGGTGGAGGGTCTCTGTTCTGCCTCCTGGCTCCTGCCAGAGACTCCAGAGCCCACTATACCATCCTGCTGCCCCCTTCCCCCTGGCTGGTGTCTCTGGGCCCAGGAGGCAGCTCTGGGAGGCCACAGGGGTTACTGCATATGCAGGTGGGGTGTGCTGGGCACAACCCTCAGGCATGTGTATGCATGTGTGTGGGGTGCATGCATGAGCCTGCAAGCATCATCCCAAATGCAGGGGGTCTTCAGGGTTTGTACACACGTGCTCCCTGGGACCCCAACTGTCTAATGGCCCTGAGCAGGTGTCTGGTCACTTTGCTCTCTCCCTCCTGCCTCTGGCTGATGAGGGGAGGCCTTGGGTGGTCCAGAAGAAGGCAGGGCCTACACTTACCATCTCCCCTGCATGCCAGGTGCCTGCAAGCCCTGTAGTGACACCAAGTTCCTCCTGTCCTTGTGCACTAGCGACTTTGGGAGAGTCCCTGCCATGCCGGTTGGGGGAGGAGGGGAAGCCTGGGGCTTCCTCTGCCCTATATGCCAGCCACTGGCCAATGTGTCTCCCTGTGGTGAACCATGGGACCATCCACAGAATTGCCCACAGCACAGAGCTGCAGGAGCCTGTTATCACTGTGGCACTTCCCCGTGTCCTCTGCCAGAAACTGCCCCTGTTCTAGGTGGGGGGCTTTGGGGGCCGGATACAGGCCTCCATTCGCACCCTGCTGCACTGTGGTATCCGCCCTGACCCTGGCACTTTCCTCTTCATGGGCTGGAGCCATTTTGGTGAGGCCTGGCTTGGCTGTGTACCCCGCTTCTAGGAATTCAGCCATGCCTATGCCGCTGCCCATGCCAACCACCTCTACCCCTGCGAGCTGGCGCCGGACTGAGGGGTCTAGGAGTGGGGCTATGGAGACAGTCCAGGAGGAGGGTGGGTGGGGAGGGGGAGGCCTCCAAAGGGCATCACAGTACCACCTCCTTCTGAGGGAATAGCAAGAACCAATAAGAACACTAATTTCACTAGTCAACGTAGGTTGAGTGCCTTGTACCTGAGCCCAGCCTACTTTACACTTCAGAAGACTGAGGGCAGTGGTGTCTTGTATAAGGCCACCCAGCTAGTGAGTGGGACAGTGGCCCATGCCCATGCCCTGGAGAGGGGATGCTGCTGGGTGTGTTTGTGCATGGACTCTCCACTCACATGAGCCTTGGCTCCGCTGCTCCTACCCCCAACATCAGGTGCTTCCAAGGCTCAGAGTGGGAGTGGAAAAGGGGCCATAACTCCCAAGGTCTGAGGCAGGTTGTGTCCCTTGTGGGGCCAGGAAGGTCAACATCACTCCCAGCCTGGGAGGAAAGGGGCTGCAATCTGGCTGGGTGCTAACTTCCCTCTGTGGTTCCCTGAGAGCCCCGCAGAGCCATCCTGGCCCCATCCCGCCCTCAGGGAAGAATGGGTCCCTCTGTCCCTAGGCCCCTGCAATGGGCTGAGCATCCTGATGTGGTGCAGAGCCCATGGGGTGTGGGGTCTCCCTTGTGGGGTCCTGCTTGTTGCTGTTTCTGGTAGGTGGGTGCACACAATGGGGTTTCTAAGGAACATTTCCTGCCACTTGCCCCATTGTTGTTGGCCCCCACCCCGCTCCTGTCTTCCTCCAGCTTCAACCACAGAAAGGGTCAGCAATTCTGGACAAAGCTGGCAGCCCTGAGGCTAAAAGCCCCCTCCCCCGGGTGCGGGGGCTTCTGAACCCTGAATGAGCTCACTTTGCTCACCTCAACCCTATTGTTGAAGTCTGGGAAGATGCCTGGGCTGAACCCTAGAAACAGCTTCCCATCCTCACCTGCTGTCCTTGCTGGGGAAGAGCCCAAGAGTGTGGGCAGGAGCCAGGGGTCCTGCCATCTTTCAGACAGGAACTGAGTCTGGGAGAGGCACAAGGCTGTGCAGGGTCCATACACAGGACCCCTTTCTCTAGATTTGGTGGACACTGAACTTTCCATGGAGAGGCTGTCTGGAAGCTGCGTGTGCATGGGGGGCCGGTCTTTTTACTCACTGTGGGGTTCATGAGAATTATGGGGTGGGGGGAGTACAGCCCCCCTGGAAGGTAGGCCTCATGGGGCTTCCTCCCACCTCTGCTCTTCCTCCCCTCCTGAGGCTTCTTAACCACTCCTCACTTCCCCAAGCTCATGGCTTTAAATACCATCAATGTCGCCCTAGCCAGTTTTGCTCAGTGGTTAGAGCATCAGCTCTCAGACTGAAGGGTCCCAGGTTCGATTCCAGCCAAGGGCACATTCCTCGGTTGCAGCCTCAATCCCTGGCCCTGGGCTGTTTGAGTGTGGGAGACAACCAATCAATGTATCTTTCTCACATCGATGCCCCCCCCCTTTCTGAAAAGCAATGGAAAAAATATCCTTAGGTGAAAATTAACAATAAATAAATAAATACCGTCAATGTGCCGATGAACCCCTACATTTTGGTCTCCATCCTGGACCTCTCTCATGGACTGCAGACCTAGCACCTGGTTAGCTCCCCTCCCCAACCAGGGAGTATCTCAGCAAAGACCAGAGGAGGAGGGAGTGAGGGTGCCCGGACTGGCCCCCTCCTCCCTGTCTTGGGGAGGCCCCAAGGAGGACTCTCCCGCAAGGCTGAGCAGCACCCTCACCCTTGGCCCTGCCCTGATTCTTGGGCCAGCTCCCCACAGCTTCTTGTTTGGAAGGAAGCCCTGGCCACATCCAGTGGTGACTGCCTCTGACCATCTGTCCATGAAAATGGGCAGCTGCTCTGGAGTGCACCCTAGACTGGACACTGGCAACTACCCCCCTGCCCCAGAAACATGCCTGAGGCCCCCACGCACACACTGGCTGCAACCAGCCCTCCTCTCATAGGTGCACAAAGATCAGGAGTGGGTGTGGCTAATGGCCACTGGGGCCCTGGAAGTCTTGCGCCAGGGGCTTTGCCTGCCGTGGAGGAAGCGGTCAAAGGGAACCAGTGTGGGTGAGCTTGCAGGCTGGCACTATGGAAGCTGGCCTTTGGGGCACCTGTGGAACACTTCAGGGTGTGAACATTCACATGGATACACACGGCTGCCCAGTGCTCAGAGGCTGAGGAGCAGAGTGCCAGATGTGAACCAGAGAGAGCTGGGTGTGGATGCTTGGGAGGCCAATTAGATGCATGTATTTAGTCAACAAGCTTTTACTGAGTGCCTTCTAGGTGCTGGTGCTGCTGTAGGCACTGGGAATTATGCAAGGAAAGAGGCAAGGGCTGTGTAAGACTTCTCCAGCCTAGAGCCTAGGGCACACCCTTCCTTTCTGGGGAGGGCACAGTGACAACCCCAAGGAGACAGGGTTCTCTGGGCCATGTAGAGCTGGCCCTCCTCCCCAAGGGTCAGGTCTTCGGAGTAGGGCATCTCAGTTTCTTCCCACTCAGGGACACCTTTCTTTCAGGACTGGTGGCAGCTGGGGCCCAGTACTGGCAAACACATCGGGCACTCTGCATTTGGGAGGTGGGGACAAGGGTCTTGGGTGTGGGCAGTGTTCTGAAGCAGGCTGCATCCCTGCTGGGGCTTCTGACTAGGGCTGTGGATGGCTGAGGAGCCAGGCCAGGTCCTGTGTGCAAACAAGCCCTTGACATTCATGGCCATTTGGCCTCAGGGTAGGGTGAGGAGGAGGCCCTGGCTCTGCCACTTGATCCAGGCCTCTGTCCCCTCACTTATCTCTCCCACTCCCAGGCTTTGTTAGTTTACCTCTGGGAACGCAATTAAAAAATATTTTTTTAATTGGATTTTTTGTTTTGAGAGAGAGAGAGAAACATCGATTTGTTGTTCCACTTGTTTATGCATTCATGGGTTGATTCTTGTATGTACCCAGACGAAAGATCAAACCTGCAACCTTGGTGCATTGGGATGGTACTCTAACCAATTAAGCTACCTGGCCAGGGCCTCAATTTTTGTTGTTCCTTGGAGAAGGAATGTGATTTTCCCAGCTCCTGGGGCTCTTTCTCCAACCACCTTGGCTGGGTCAGCTGCCAGAAGCCCTGGCCCCTCACATCCAGCTCCCCTCCCAGCACACTCACAGAGAGTCAACGTCTGTCTTCTCAGGTCCGTTCAGTCTCTTTCGCATCAGCCCTCTCCTCCCTGCCCCTCAGCTGAACTCCAACTTCCACACCCCCTCTCCCTCAGACATCAGCACATTCTCTGTTTCCTGTCCACTTGGGTTAATGGCCTTCTGTGGGAGGGATCCCAAAGGGTGTGCCTGCAACTGCTCCTAGGCTTGGCTGGATTTTGGGGTGCCCTGATCAGCAGAGCCCCGGCCAGTCTCCCTGAGATAGCTGTATAGGGCCTGGCTGTGACCCAGGATGGCCAGGCCTAGATGTCGCCCATTTCCCATTGTCAACCTTTAAAATAGCCATTTTACCAGCGAAAAATGAGTTTATTTGGAATGGCAAAGGAATTGCAGTTTTGGGCTTGCAAACTATGGTGAACCACAGGCAAGTCTGGAGAACAAAAGGGAATGTTATTTTATAGAGAAAAAGGAAGTTGGGAGCGATATAAGCAAAAGTTCACTGGAGGAGAGCAAGAGTTCAGGGTGGTGGTGGCTTCTCATTGGCTGGGCTGTTGCTGGGTAAAGAGAAAATCTTCCTCCTGCTGGAGCAGTAAAGTGGGCTGCTTCCCGCTGGAGTCTTCAAGGTGCAGTGAGTGCGGGGGAGCTACCCTACCCCTTCAAGGTTTCCTGACTCCAATTGTATGAGGTTTCCTTTATTCATTTTCACATTTCCCACTTTGATCAAATCTTTCTCTGAAAGCATCACTGACCAATAATCAGTTTTCCTGCATTTAGTAGTTTTGCCCCTCTGTGTCAGGAAGGACCTTTCCTGTTGTCATGTTCCATGTGGGAGGGAAAGTGCATAGAGATTGGAAATGGTTAACAAGGAGGGGCAGAAGGAAGGATACCCGGGCATTCCCACCTGAAGTCTATCTTATCAAGGGTATAAGCATTGCAGATTATCTCAGAGCAATGAACCGGCATCATTTAGTGCATCATTTCTGCAGAAGCTTGACAAGCAATAGGCACAAAGTTTGACAATTATACAAAACAGCCCTAGCTAGTGTTTCTCAGTGTTTAGAGTGTCGTCCCATGTACTGAAGGATCCGAAGGGTCACAGGTTCGATTTCCAGTCAGGGCACATACCCAGGTTGTGGGTTCGATACCCCGGTCAGGGAATGTTCATGAGGCAACCAATCGATCTATGTTTCTCTCTCTTCCTCTCCTTTCCTCTCTCTGTAGCATCAGTGAAAAACATCCTTGGGTGAGGGTTAAAAACAAAAAGAAAATTATACAAAACAAAACGAGCAAAATAAAATCCAGTTTGGGGGTGTCTCGCCGCCACTGCCCCTGGGCCCCGAGGCTTCCCCGGGTTCCCCCAGCCGGCCCGCGAACGAGACGCGGGGCGAGCTGCCGCCGGGACGCGGGGCGCAGTGCGGGCGGCCCGGCATCTGAAGGAAATGGCCTTCCTGCAGGCCAAAGATGGCTTTTCCACGTCCTGCCAACTGCTGCCGTTTCTCCAGAGGGGATCGCTCCTCACGACATGAAGTCCTGTCACAGAATCCAGAAGCTCCCCTTTCAGGGTGCACGTCGAGGTGGAGTATCCCGTCTGCAGACTCTCTGTGGCACTGCCCTGCTGTCTCTTGGCTTTGGGTCAAGGAAAAACAACTGAGATTCACACATGGAACCCCTCTGCATCGAGTTCCAGAACTGAAAGAGAACTTGGAGGTCTCCACCCACGTGGAGAAAATGGAACAGTATTCTGAAATAATTATTTTGTTTATATCTGCACTTCATATCTTCACTGGGGACATCTGAAGCAGAGACAGCAGGAAGGAGGGCAAAAGGAGAAAGGAAGTGATGGGAAGAGACAGAGAGAGAGATACGGTACAGGAGGAAGATTTGTTGGAAGAGACTGAGACAGACACGGTTCTGGGGAACCAAAAGGCCAAGATACACCCTCAGGAAAATAGACATAGAGCTACAGATCCAGGGACAGTAATTCACACATGAACAAGAGGAAAAGACAGGTAAAATGAGACGTACAAAAAGAAAGGAAGTGAGGCCTTGTATGAGCATCATTCCCTTAGGCTAGCACCAACAGCTACGTTGCATTTGAAGATACCTGGCACCAAAAAGGAGGCAACTTGTTCTTAGGACTGAAAATGTGGCAGGAAGAAATGAATGGCCCTTCTCTCTTTTTTTTTTTTCTCCTGCACTTTGCACTCCGTAAAACACCTTGTCGATACGGCCTTGCACTGATATTTGTATATGTGTTTCCTCTTTAAGCTGTGTACCTCTAACGGGAAGGTAGGGACTGCTGGTCCAGGAGGCAGCAGCCATGGCATACAGCGCTGGGGTTAGGGTCAGAGGACCTGAGTTCCAGTTCTGGCCCTGCTACACAAAAGCTGTGTGACATGGGGAAAACTACTTAACCTCCTGTAAAATGGGGGGTCCTCTACCTACCTTACAGGGTGGCTGTGAAGATTAGATGGAATGTTTTCAAACATACATGTTAACTATATGTTGAGCAGAGGCAAGAGGCTATTTTTCTTTATCTTGGTATCATTGCAGCACAGTTTCTTGCTGTTAGGCTTCTCAATAAACATCCATCGGACTGAAGGTGCCCTGGGCCTGGCTTGAATGGAGTCGAGACTGCAACTTCCCCAGTTTTATCCTGGACTATTTGCAAAGGCAAACTACATCTAGGAAACACAGTCACAGCCCAAACACATGGCTTCTACAAACAGTGACCACAGCTGCACACCACAGGGAAGTCTTTGCTTTTGTACACAATGATAACGCTCCCTGTCAATAAAAAGCAGAACTTACACAAAGGAAAAAAAAAAAATCCAGTTTGTATAATTGTCCTAAATCAGGAGCTCAAACATGAGGTAACCAGCTAAACAGGTCAAAGGACCATGGAGAATCAGGTGAAATTTGCTGTAACAAATGGACTTGTTCCTTAAATTTTGTGTAATTGGGTTTCTACTTATCCAGAAGAATTTATCCATGTGCAACAGATGACGTTTGCTATTGCAAACTAAAACATGGTTATTTTCAATGGACATAATCGACTTTTGCAATATCGAAGTATATCTCCTTTTATCAGCTGTAGATCAAAAGAGGCAGGGGCTAGATGAATCAGGCACCCTGTGACCATCTCAAAGGCTGAGAGTTTATGAGGTCTAAAGGGGATGGATCTGAGATTTAGAAGGACCAATGGCAACACTTTTGGCCAAGGTATTTGGAGGGTTTCCACAAATTTTGCCAAATGAGTTTTGATAATGACGTTGGTTGGTTCAACTAGTCCTGAGGATGGTAAGTGAAAATGCTATAGAACTGGCCAAATGGCACAGTCTTGCCATACTATTTGACCAGTAAAACTGGTTCTCTAGTCGCTATGGAGTTCAAGAGGGGTTCCCCAGGTAGGGATGATTTCTCCCCCCCCCCAATAGGATTGGGCACAAGAGATATGTAGCTTGTCAACATGGAAAGGCTTTGATCCAATGGGAAAACACAAATCATTACCAAGACGTACTTATATCCATGAGTTGGGTAGATGAATAAAGTCCATTTGCCAAACCTTGAATGGCCCATTGGGCAATTTAAAATGGCTGGGGTGATGTGGACAGTTCCTTCTGGATTATTTTTGGGGCAGGTGGGGCAAGAAAAGTAGGTACTTTTTGTGGCCTTATTACCGTTTGTACACCAGTATTGGTTCATAAAGGTTATAATTTTATCAGTAGAGCAATGATTCAATGCATACACAGTAGTCAGTAATGGGAATTTAGAATTTCTGGCAGGAGTGGATTGTTATTTGGCCCAAGCAGAGTTCTCTTTTTATCGAGCCAATAGTTATTAGAGTTCCAATATTGTTTTTCCTTTAATGGGGCCAATTTTAGAGCATTGCTAGTCAGTTTTTCTAAATTATCATATGGGAGAACATCCCTTTGTACCATGACAGAGGTTTGGCTGTTGGTTCCTTTGAGAGCTGTGTTCTATATCAGCAAGATTGTTTCCTTTAGTCTCCAGGGAGTCAAATTTGGATTGCCCAAGTATCTTAATAGCCAAGGTGGCTGGTAGGAGTATAGCATCTAATAGTTTTTGGTCTTAAGAGCCAGTTTTAATTGTATCCTCATTAGAGGTAAGGAAACCTCGACGTTTCCATAGCATTCCAAGGTAATGAGCTATCCCAAAGGCATAGCGACTATTGGTATAGATGTTTGTGGTTTTGCCCTTGGCTAGAGTACAAACCAGAGTAAGTGTATATATAATTCAGCCAGTTGGCAGGGGTAGCCAGAGGCAAAAGTGCTGTCTTGATGACTTCAAAAATAGCTACAATAAGCATACCCAGCTCAATATTTACCATTTAAATAAGAATGATCAGCCCTGGCCAGTTGGTTGGAGCATCTTCCTGTACACTGAAAGGTCACAGGTTCAATTCCTGGTCAGGGCACATACCTAGGTTGTGGGTTTAGTCCCCGGTTGGGGTGTGTACATGAGGTAACCAACCGATGTCTCTCTCTCACATCCATGATTCTTTCTCTCCCTTCCTCTCTCTCTAAAATCAATGAACATGTCCTTGGGTGAGGATTGAAAAAAAAAAAAAAAGAAAATAGATGTTTAAATAAGCCTGATCAGTAAACCATGAACAATCTACATTGCTTAAGAGGAACTTCTTTTAAGTTATCATGGGCCGTCAAAAGGTGATGTCAGCACCAAGCAGCCCTGAGGGGTTTTGTCAGTGAAGGACGGGATAATAGCCAGGTCAAGCTTAAGACAGGGAGAACGTTTTGAGTTATACAAGGAGTGGTCAGCAAGAGGATTTCATAGGTGAGACCACTGGTGGGAAAGCGTTGAGTGCGATGAGAATGCAGGAAGGCATCAACTGCTTGGGTACAAGATTATGGGGGGTGGGGGGTGGAATCCCATGACTGTTTCTTCAGTGGACCTAACCAAAAGGACAGTGGCTCTGAGGCAAGAGGAGTTACCCTTGTGCCACACCGTCTAGCTGCTGGCTGTGCAACCCTAAGGGGTGATGGTGATCTCCATGCTTTAGGGCAGTGATTTTTCAACCTTTTTCATCTCATGACACACACAAACGAATTACTAAAACTCTGTGGCACACCAAAAAGTATATTTTTTACCGATCTGACAAAAACAGTGTAATTTTTAATCATTCACACCGGACGGCTATAAATAGTCAGACCCTGCATGCTTTAAAAATTCTTGCGGCGCACCAGCTGAAAATTTCTGTTTTAGGGTGAGCGCCAGAGAGGGACCCTGGGCCCGGGCAGGGCGGAACGCCAAGGGACGAGTCCCGGGTTCAGTCGGCCCCTTCCTGCATCCCCACCGCCTCCGCCCCGTCACTTCCGGCGTCCTTTCCGGCCGGTGTGATGGTCTCAGACCCGAGGAAGGGCGGCTCTGGGCAGCGTGTTCCACAGCCATGGAGCTGGATGACCCGGCCGAGGCGCTGACGGAGCTGCGTGAGCGAAAGCTGAGCCTGTCGGGACTGCTGCAGGTGGCAGCGGGCTCGGGCCTGGCCGCCTACGCCGTGTGGGCGCTGGTACTGCACCCGGGCTTCCGCCGGGTGCCTCTGAGGCTGCAGGTGAGGGGCGGGGCCTACGGAGGGACGGAGCT